AGATTTTCTTAGGCATCAGGGACCTTCCCTTTTGGAGGCCCCAACCTCCACAGAGCAGTGGGGTCTTACATTTTCACACACACACACACACACACACACACGTAACATAGAGTTGCAGTTGTCTGTTTGGCATATGTGTTACATTTCCAGATATTTAACAAAATATTAATTTTCAAGTCTGTCCTTTCTTTTCCTATTTTGTAGCCAATAGGCTTTTTTGGGTGAATTTTATTGAAATATATCACTGGTACAGACAAATAACGCAGCTCCTAAGTGTACAGCTCAGTGAATTCTCATGAAGTGAGCACCCCTGTGTAACTGGCACTCTGGTCAAGAAACAGAACATCCTGAGCTCCCAGATGCCCCCCAGGTCCCCATCCATTTGCTACCCCCCCACCCAGGGTAATCTTGATCCTGACTCCCAATCAAAGTCTAGTTTGGCCTGTCTTTGAGTTTCCTGTAAGGGCAGTCACATGGTACATACTCATTTTTGTGTCTGACTGCTTCTGTGGAACCATAAACTTCTTATCCAGGTCTCAGGCATTTTCAGAGGTGTATTAAAGGCTTATAGGCTATAGGTACTGTCAAAACCAGGGATTGTCAGCCTTACCTTCACGTTAGAATCACCAGGGAAACTCTTTAGAATCCTGACACCCAAGCTGTCCCCCAAAATAATTAAATCAGAATCTCTGAGGATAGGATCAGGCATTGGTCATTTTTCATGCTCCCGGGTGACACCCATTGCCACCAAGGTTGAACACCTCGAGTCTAAACAACTCTGGAGGTATTAGTCTCCCTATTTTACAACTGGGGAAACTGAGGCTCCAAGAGTCTTCATGTGTTAATGTCATGCAGCCAGAGCTCAAATTCAGATCTGATGTGGAGTGGTGTCTGTCTTGCCTTATCCCTGGGTGAATAGTAAAGCCCAAACCCGGTGGTGATGCCTGGTCCCCCCTCATTGTGAGTCCTTCTAGAGGTGTGGAGAGGGATGTGGAGTTTCCCAGGCTACTGGTGCCGTGAAGACAGCCCAGGGGCTGGCCCTAGGGAGAAAGTTGCCGGACTCCACCTTTGCCCTGCACCTCTGGAAGCCACAGAAAAGTCTCTGCGAGTGGCAGTGGCTGCCAGCTGGGCAGCCGTGGGGGACGTGTCACAATAGCCATAGTTCTTTCTGCCTCCACCTTTGGTTCCCTGAGTGCAGTGCACAATTCTGCCACTCAGTGGCACCTCGAGCTTCTGTAAACCCTGTAGTTTCACACACAGCCCGCCTGCGGCCAAAGGAAGGAAGCCAGACAGCAGGGTGCTGGCACTGGGAGAGGAGCGTGTGCAGCAGGAGCTTCCTGGGGCATGCCTGGGTGGCTGGGACCTCACTTGGGACCTGGGGGACAGTTTGGCTGAGGCTGGAGCTGCTCCTGGGTCTTGACAGGGCCTGTCCCTGGCTGGCAAGGTGGGTGCAGGGATATGGCTACAGCCAGACCGCAGAGAGGCCACTGCCTGTAACTAAGCCAGCAGAGAGAGACCACACCTCCCCAGGCCCACAGTGAGTCAGGTCCCCCACTACCCTTCACCGGGCTGCTTCTGGGTCCCGCATGCCTGCGAGCACAGCCCATGCACACGCCCGTGATGCCCTGGAAGTGGAGGTGCCAGCCCTGCCTCAAAGCCCAGGCATAGCTCCAAGTCCTTCCCTGGGAATCTGCCTGATCCTAATCCCAGGATGGCTGAGGCCCTCAAGCTGCTAAAGGGTCTCTGAGGCTGGGTCTGTCTTCTGCCCTGCAGTTTGGAGTCAGATTGCCTAGATTCGAAGCCAAGATCTGCAACTTCCCAGTTACTTAACTTCCATGAGCCTCAGTTTCCCCATATGTAAAATGGGAAATAAGAATCCATGCCATGGAGGGTTGCTGTGAGGATGGAATGACTAATTATATAGAGAGTCTTAGCCTAGTGCCAGGCACACAGGAAGTGCTAAATAAACATCAGCTACTATTATTATGATGATTACCATTTGAAAATGGAAGGGTCGAATGCCTGTCAGTCAGATAAGCACCTGGATTTGGTTTTACCCGTTTAGTAAATCCTCATCCCTTCCCAGGACCTCCTCTCTCGAAGAGCTGAGCTTGGGTTCAAATCTGGCCTCAGGGTAGAGCAAACTTCCTAGCCCAAAACAGAATGAACCCGCCCTCATGTGAGAGAACACCCTCACTTGTGGCAACCCACACACGGCCCAGGTACCAGCAGAGGGAGTGAGTCTAGGCTGCGCACAGCTCAGGCAAGCACCAAGCTGCCCTAAAGGGGGTAAGAACAAACATGAGACTCACCCAGAGGGGACTGCCCAGCTCCCACCCAAGAGGCTGGAGCCATTGTCCCCACAGTCTGATGAGCTCCTCTCCGGGAACAGACCTGAGTGTGTGACCCCAGTCTCCCTGCAGCCTCGGGCAGCTTCCCATCTGGGTGCCATCCCTGTGGTATCAGAGTGGGCACTGAGTCAGGAGACGTGGGTTCCAAGCTTGGACCCTGTCATCAGCAACCAGCTGTGTGGCCTGGGGCAAGTCACCCACCCTCTCTGGACCTCTGTGACAGGATTCAAGTGATCTTTAAATCCCCTCCCAGCTCTAACGTATGGCTATAGCAAAGTATCTGGCACATAGTAGGTGCTCAATAAATTATAAAATTCAAGACACAACTCCGCTAGGTTCCAACATCCAGCTACTTTCTCCACACCTGATCTTAGCCAAAAGGCCGAGAAGTGATCATCCAGCTACTTTCTCATCTTCAGTACTGAGTGACCTGTGTGATCCAGCTCCCAGCAGGACCCAACCCAGGGGAAGAGCTCAAGAAATGAGCATTTATTGATATCATTGATTACTTTTGGCCTGGCTTTCAGTCCCACCTGTTCCCCCACCCAAGGCTACAGGTGCCCCAAAGACTCCAGATTAGAGGCGCTGAAGTGTCTGCCTCCCCAGTAGACTATAAGCTCCAAAAAGGGTTCATCCTGCTCCCCATGTCAGGTCCGGTTCAGGCAGCCGAGTATCCCCTCATGTGGTCCTGGGGCATAGAACAGACCCTCCATTGTCATGGGGCAGAGAAAGCATCACAGAGCCTCATGCTGGGCAAGTTCTTTTATTGGAAAAAGAAAAAATAAAAGGACATGGCACTGCCTGTGCCCAGCCCTCCCATGGGAGATGCACAGGTCGGACACAATGCCCAGCCCCACAGGGGCCCAGGGTGGGCATAGGCTGTGGCCAGGGGCTGCAGTGGAGCCCACTGAACTGCAGCTCTCCAGGGGGATCCTTGGACCAGGACTCACGTGGGCCCAGGACTTCCTGAGGCTGCACGGACTAGGCGGACTCTCTCTGCTCTCTGGGTAGGCCCTTGTTTCCCACATGCTGCTCCCATGTCTGGTAGAAAAGCAGGGCTCTCTTTGGTTCCAGAGAGCTACCTGCAGTGGCTGGTCTTGCACATCCACTTTTAGCACCTCCCGCCAACTGAGGTAGGCAGCCCCCTTCATTTCATCTTTGGGATACCAGCCCCAGGGGCTGCTCCCATCCCACCTGCTCCCCAGGCATCACTGGCTGGACATCTCCTTTCCTTGCAAGGAGGGAGTTTGCCTTTCCCCTGCAGGCTGCTGGCACCTTCTAGGTCCACGGAAACCTCACCTACCAAGCCTTAAAGAGCCCCAGACCCCGGGCAGGCTGAACACACAGTGTCTGTAGCCCCATTGTCTTGTCATGGGGAGCTGAGAGGGGGCACCAAAGGCCACCAAGGTTTGGCTCTTCTCTCCTAGAACCCCAGCTTCTCTTCCACTAGAATGTATGCAGTAGAGTACGTTCCCTGGTAGCCCTAGGGGAGGGGCAAGGGGCTTTTGGACATTTATTTACAGGGGGCCAGGCTGGGCCCACGCAGGGAAGAAGTCACGGACCCTCAGGTAGTGAAGACAGCAGGATGCAGAGAAGCAGTCATTGGCCTAGCAGCCAAGGGGAACACACAAACACACTCACACACACATGCACTCACCTGCATACACACACACACTCATACACATGAACAATCATACATACATGCTTTTGCACATGTGCTCATGTACATGTATGCACTCACACTCATATAAAGGCACACTTGTGCATGCATGTGTGCCCATGTATTCATACACACACAGGTGTGCTTACAAATGCACCCACATTCATACATTTGTGCACTGATGCACACACAGGCGCTCACACACAGGCATGCTAACACACGCATACTCACACATTTATGCACACTGCACTTACACACATGTGCACTCACACATACATTCACATGTGCATACATACAGGTTCTAATCTCAGGAAACTGGCTCCAGTTCAGGAGGTTCAGGCCCCGTATGGCTATGTCTCTCCGCAAAGTTTCTCCAGACTCCCATATTACCTCCCAGAGCCCCAGGATGTGTGCCCCTCAACCAGCACCTGGCAGCCTGCAAAGTCTCAAAGTTGGATGCTTCTGGCAAGGCCGTGCTGGCCTCCAGCTCTGGCTGCAGGACAGGAAAGCCATAGGTCTAGAAGAGGTCAGGAGTGGGCTGAACAGCTTCCAACCACGGCACTCGTCTCCCCACACCTTCAATTTGGTGGAGGCGGGATCATAGACAGGCCGGGGCCCTGCAGGGCCATGAGAAGGAGCAGATACTGGGAGACAGCCACAGGACACGGGGCCCAAGAGAGAGAGTCCTGGTGGACATGGGTTTGGGGATGAGGGGTCATGCAGTGTGGGAGTCCTCTATGTGGCAGACCTGAGCCCCTCTCGTGGGGTTGGGAGAGGGGCTGTGGAAGAGAGGGGCCGCCTAGGTTGTGTTCTCCCCACCCCAGCCTTCCTAGGAAGATCTGTCTCTGTGTGGCCCAGACCAGCCCCATCAGGAAGGGAAAGCCCCCAGGTCAGGAAATGGACTGATCCAGCTGGGGGTGAGGGATAGGGGTCATAGGTTGATGGCCCACAGGAAATATGAGGCCCGTCACCCTCCCTCCCACCCCAGGCAGCAGGGTGGGCCCAGAGAATGACTCAGAAGCGGGTGCTCTGGTAGCGCAGCCGCCGCAGGTCTGCGAGGCCCTCACTCCGGCCATACACCTCCCTACAGGGACTCTCGGCCAGTCACCGGGCCCCCGCCCCACCACCCCCACCGCTGCTGCTGCCACTGCCACTGCTGCTGCCGCTGCTGGAGCTGCCACTGCTGCACCGGTCCTCGTAGATGGAGATCTCAATCTGGGGTCGGCGGTTAAGGAGAACTGCGAGCCCAGCTGCTGAGCAGGGGTCGGACATGAACCAGTGGATGGAGTCCGGCAAAGGAGTGGGAAAGTGGGCTTGTGCTGCTGCCTAGACAGTAGGGATGTAGAGGCCTGGGAGCTAGACCCTCCCCAAGCCCATCCATGCACATTACTTAGCTAACAGTTAGGGAGACTTGTGAGGCCAAGCCCTATGCTGGGCACACAGCCGTGATCACAGCAGACAGGGTGGCTGCCCTGATGGAGCTTACATTCCAGTGGGTCTAATGACCATATCTTAGGACACAGATGTGCCCAGGAAGGTTACTGCACAGGAAGTATGAGGACTTTGGTGTCCCGAGTTTAAATCCTGACTCAGGCACTCACAAAGCTATGTGACCTTACACCAGTCACTTAACTTGTTAGTCATCCATTATCGCATCTGCAAAATGGGGATTAAAATAGAATCTAGGGGTTAGTGTGGAGATTAGATGAAATGTATGTAAGGCACTTAGCACAAAACCTGGCACATAGCAAAGGCTCAATAAAAACAAGTGCCTCTCACTGGGCTTTGTCAACACATGATTCTGGGTGTTTGTGGTTTTTTGACTCTGTTTCTCCTCAGTTTTCCAGTAAACTTTATTTTTTAGCAATTCTACTCGTGTTGTTGCTGCCTGGGGGGAGGGATGTGTGCACACCCAGATCACACTATTCCAAGTGGAGGTGGAGTCAGCAGAACCATGCCCCACCCCCTGTCCAGCCTCTCACCAGGACTGAGAACTTGGGGGAGTCACCTCATCCTAGACCTCACGTCTCTCATCTGCGAAAGGAGGACAATGGGACCTGCCACGGGAAATTCCATGAGGACCGCATGAGACTGAGGACCTGTAAATGAATGTGGTGATTTGCATATTCCTGGAGGGGTCTTTGCAGTTAAGGGTGAGCCTGGGCGCAATTCCTGGCTCCCACATTCACCAGCTGCACGACTCTGAGCAGGTTGCTGGGAATAATCAGAGCAACCCACCTGGTAAGATTGTTATGAGAAGTACATGAATTCATATTTTCAAATCACTTCACATGATAGCTGGCATATTCTAAGCACTGATTACATGCAGCCCAACAAGTGCAAACCCTGAAACTCACAAAGCCTCCAATAACTTATGGTGGCGGAGGAGGGCTGAGGACCACTGATGTGGGGAATCCTGGGAAAACCTGAGTGGAGGCCCCTAAGGTGGCCCCGTTTCCTGGCAGCCTCACCGGGATCTCTACCGGTTGGCAGTCCTATGCCCTCACACAGAACAGCCCGGAAGGATACAACCCTCATCCCACGCTCCACGGGGTCTGTGAGTAGGAGGCCTCGAGGCGCAAAGATCTTCTCATTCTGCTCCTGGATGTAGCGGGAAATCTTCTTGAGAACCTGCAAAAAGAGGAGCCAGACAAGGATGAGCGTGCCGCAGGGCAGCCCTGAGGGAGGGGACGCACGGTGGGGCGGGAGGGGCCACCTTCTCGTAGTGGGTCTCCATGCAGAGGAAGATGAAGTAGGCCGTGGCGCAGGCCAGGCAGCCCTCAAGATAGGAGCTGCCCCCAATCTTCTCAGCCTCTGCATAAAAGCCATTGAGGGTCTTCACAGTCTCTTCAAAGAGCTGCCGCTCGATCTGGAGGGAGAGAGGGACAGAGCCAGGCTGTGGTTAGCCTCCCTGGAGTGCGCACAGTCACAGGTGGGGCAGGGGGTGACAATGGTGGGGCCATGTAGATGGGGGAGATGACACTGGCACACAGGTAAGACCAAAGAGGCTGCACGCAGAGCAGAAAGAGCACTGGCCTGGGAGTCAGGAGACTGGGGGGCCAGTCTAGACATGGCCATCAACTAACGGGCTGCGTGACCTTGAACTTACAGCTTAACCATCTAGGCCTCAGTTTCCTCATCTATAAAATGGGAATAAGAATGGCTGCTTGTCCTCCCTTAGAAACAGGAAACTCCCATGATATCCTAGATGTTTTCTGCAGAAGATCAGAACAACTTTTCTAGTGATTTTGACACGTCCCATCTTGCTGGTTGTGAGAGAGCTCAGGACTAAATTCATAGGGGCTCTCCATGTTTGGATGGGACTGCATGAGACTGCTTCAGTGAGACCAGGAAGGGGCATTTCTAGCTCAGAGGTCACCCACAACACCACAGCCCTGTGTGTTTGGACACCTAAGAAGCTGTCCTGCCCGTATCCATAACAGGAATAGCTAATATGTATTAAGTACTTTCTATGTGCCAGGAAATGCACTCTTTCATTTAACCCTCATAACAATTCTGTCAGAAAAGTACTACTGTCATCCCCATTTTACAGGTGAGGACTGCTCTGTGGGCCTAAGACCACACAGACCACGAACTGCTCTGTGGTTCCAGCTGCCACCATCTCTGGCCCCTTCACCGGCCTCCCTGCCCCTGCTCCTGCCCTAACTTCCTGTTAAAGTCAGATTACGTCACAGCTGTGATCAAGAGCTCCCACAATCTTCCCATCTCTCTGCAAGTAAAATCCAAGAAGTCCTTACAATGCCCGCTAGGCCCTCCATGGCCTGACCCTGCTACCCCTGGGCCCGTCTCCTCTCCTCCTCACTCAGTACACCTGCTTCTTGAAATTGCCTCAGGCCCTTTGTGTCTGTCTCCTCAGCTGCCACACTTTCCCCTGCAGGCTGCCATGACACCCTTAACACCCACGGGTCTCACCTTATTCAACAGCCTCCCCCTGTGCCCAGGATCATTCACCTCTCCCCAGCACACCCAAACCGCCTAACATCCTCCCCTTATTCTTCTAGTATTTGTTATCTCCTGAGCGAGGTATATTTACAGTTGGCCCTGGAACAACATGGGTCTGAACTGTGTGGGTCCATTTATATGTGAATTTTCTTCTGCCTCTGCCACCCCTGGGACAGCAAGATCAACCTGTCCTCTTCCTCCTCTTCCTCAGCCTACCCAATATGAAGATGACGAGGATGAAGACCTTTTTGATGATCCACTTCCAGTTAATAAGTAGTCAATATATTTTCTTCTCCTTATGATTTCCTTAACATTTTTTCTCTAGCTTACTTTATTATAAGAATACAGCATATAATATACATAACATGCAAAATGTGTGTTAATAAACTGTTTGTGTTATCAGAAGGCTCCCAGTCAACAGTAGGCTACTAGTAGTTAAGTTTGTAGAAAGCCAAAGGTTATATCCAGATTTTTGACTGTGCAGGGGATGGGCACCCCTAATCCCGTGTTGTGCAAGGGTCAACTGTATTTGCTTGCTTTTTTATTTTCTACACCATCTAATAAAAATAAATGCCATGAGTTTACTCCTGTATCTCTAGAGCCTAATACATACTCAATAAATATTTAGTGAATGCTAAGTGCTCAATAAATACGTAGTGATTGCTAAGAGAACTTGTCCAAGGTTACAGCTCTGACCCCAGTCTGTGCTTTTCACTGTGTAACACCAGACATCCGGGAAGGTCACATTCCAAACTCAGCAGGTGTCAAAGTGTCAACATTGTAGCCCTATTTTTCACATTCTTTACGGTAGCTTCTTCCCCACACATGCAGCAGGACCAGAACTGCTGATCACACAGTTTAGGGACCTCCCTGCCTCTCTAGGACAAAAGTTTTGTCCAAGAATAGTTAGAAGCTTAGGATTTCCCCCTACACAGACCTGGGGAGAACTCAGAGAGAAAATCCTATGAAAATCCTGCCCATCTAGTCCATGCCACAAGCCCTGCTGCTCCACCCTGGGGGTCACCCCGCTTTACAGGACAAGCATGCCAAGATGAGAAAGAGACCCACATTCTCTCCAAAAGCTGGCTCGGGGTCCTATCACTACAGACCATCCCTGCCCCCACTTCCCAAACCCATTCAGATCTGCTGGGCTGCTGAATGAAAGGTCGGGATCTGCCTTCTGGCTTCCGCAATCCCAGGCCCACTCTAGGGCAGCCTAGGATGAAAGCTGTGGACACTCCTGGACCAGAAGCAAAACTCAGCAGCTGATGCCTCACAGCAGTCTGAGGTCCATGAGTCACCCAACTAGCTGAGTCTAGAGGCAGAGGCTGTGGGCAGAGCCCTTGGCTGACTGCCTTTTATGCCACCCAGCAGACTGTGGGATGGTGCATCCGGCTCTCCCCTTTGCCCGAGGCAGGGAGAAGGGAAAAGCAGCCTGCAGTTCTTCCTTTAAGTCTCTAAGCTTTTCCTGCAAGACTGTGATCACAAAGGCATCCAGTTTGATCTGTACTCATGAAAGATGCAATTGTGTCAGCAAGAATATAAGAGTCCTGTGAAAAAGCAGAGAGGCAGGGCACTTAAGCCCGTCTGGTACTTACTAACTCCCGTAAGTCACTTCTTTCTGGCCCTCAGTTTCCTCTGCTAAATGAGAGGGATGGACTAGTGTGGAGCTTCTCAAAATTTCATGCATATCTGAATAACCCAAGGAATAGATTAAAACCCAGATTCGGATTCAATGATCCAGGGAGGGACCCGAGAGTCTGCATTTCTATCAAGCTCCCAGGTAATGTTGATATTGTTGATCCACAGGCCACAGTTTTAGTAACAAAGGCTTCACGGTTCTCAGCTCCAGCTGCACACTTAAATTATCTGAGCAGTCTTTAAACCCTATGATGCCCAAGTCCCCCCGCCAGGAGATTCTGAGTCAATGGTCTGGGAAGAGGGAGGATAGGTCAGAGCAGCAAAGATCACCACTGCCCTGCCCTACCCAAGCTGACGCCCTGCAAGGTTCCTTTATCAAATTCGCAGGTGCCTCTAACGTGCAGCTGAGGATGAGAAGCAGCACTGTTTCTGAAGACCAGCTGAACGAGACCAGCAATTCTCCCAGTGTAATCTATGAACCACTTGATTCTGAGTCACCTGGGAATTCCTCATTAAAAATTAAGATTTAAGAACTGGCATTTGGTCTGGGCATGGTGGCTCACACCTGCAATCCCAGCACTTTGGAAGGCCGAGGAGGGCGGATCACTTGAGCCCAGGAGTTTGAGACAAGCCTGGGCAACATGGCAAAATCCCGTCTCTACTAAAAATACAATTAGCCAGGTGTGGTGGCACGAACCTGTAACCCCAGCTACCTGGGAGGCCGAGGCAGGAAGATCACCTTAGCTGGGAGACAGAGGCTGCAGGGAGTTGCACTCCATCCTGGATTTCCATCAAGGGAAAAAAAAAAGACCTGGTATTTGATAGCACAACGGGGTGACTATAATCAATAATAATTTAATTGTACATTTTAAAATAACTAAAACAGTATAATTGGATTGTTTGTAACACATAAGATAAATGTCTGAAGTAATGGATACCCCATTTACCCTGATATGATTATTATACATGGCATGCCTGTATCAAAATATCTCATGTACCCCACAAATATATACACCTGCTAGGTACCCACAAAAGTATAAATAAATAAATAAATATTAAAGTTTAAATAATCATGATTAAAATTCATTTTAAAATTAGGATTTAAAACTATTCGGATTCCAGAGCCCCACCCCTAGAGGGTCTAATGTAGTTGGTTTGGGCTGCAGTCTGAGCATCGGGATTTTTTAAGCTCCCCAGGAATGTCTAATATACAGCCAAGGTTAAGAACAGCTGCTAATAAATAGAGACTCCTGAGCCACAGTCCAACAGCTGAATCAGCACCACTGGACAACACCTGTATCATCCAGTAGGACTCAGGAATTTCCATTTGTTTAACAAGCTCTCTACATCATTCTTAGGCAACTGAAACTTGAGAGCTGCCAGACCAGAAAATTCCTGAGATCCCTTCAGCTCTAACTTTCTATGAGGAGACAGTAAGACAATATTAAGAATCATCCTTTTGATTTTTTAAAACTCATCCTTTTGAAGTGGCCAAACAGGTTATGTGTCCTATGATATTATGTGTCATATGATCCTGGAAAAAAATACATTCCAATAAGAACCTCAGTTCCATCACAGCCCTGGGTTCCAAGTGTAGAAAAAGGCATCCTTACCCGGCTGTCCAGCTCTGGGGGGAATTTGGTCTGGAACTGACAGATGGTCCCATCGCTGTAGTCTCTCTGGATAAAGACCTTGGTGGCCAGTGAGGCGCTTCGCCGGAGCTCCTGCAGATTGTGGACCTGAGGAGACGTGCGGGCCGCAGGTGCTCAGAGTGATCATCCATCTCAGCATATCCCAAACGCAGGGGTTTCCCAGAATGCGGGTCTTCCAGCACTAACACCAGGAAAGTTCCCAGCATGCAGAGACAAGCTGGGCACACTACAGGTGCTCCAGGAGGCCAAGGGAGGCAGGGCTGTGGGGTCTACCCAAGAAGCTGCCCTGAGCTATCCAAGAAAGATATTTTAAAAGCCTAAAGCAAGGCTGGGTGCAGTGGCTCATGCCTGTAATCCCAGCACTTTGGGAGGCTGAGGTGGGAGGATTGCTAGAGCCTAGGAGTTAAAGGCTGCAGTAAGCTGTGATTGCACCACCGCACTCCAGCCTGGGTGACAGAGCAAGACCGCAACTCTAAGAAAATTTTTAACAAGCCTAAAGCAGGGCCAAAGTTGAGCCAAAATGAGAAGTTCTGGAACCAACATATTTTAACAAAAGGAACAAGACCTCCTGGTGGCCGATCCAGTCCTCTCTTTCTCTCTCTCTCTCTCTGTCTCTCTCTCTCTTTCTCTTATTTTCTCTTATTCCCTTTCTCTCTCTCTCTCTCTCGCACACACATACACACACACACACACAGCTGAACCTTTCATATTTTCATTCATTCACCAAGTACCAAGCGTTCACTTGTGAGACCCTGTGCCTGGGGAACCCAGCACTGAACAAGACCGATGCTCCAATCCTGCCAAGTGGAATTCACAACAGAGTTGGGGGCAGGTAGCATGTGGGACAGAGGAATACCTGATGCACCCCTGAACTCAGAGACTGGGGTCCAGGCCGAGTTTTGTGGCCCCGGCCAGAGAGCACCCCGGATGCTTTTCACATCCAGCGCTTCTCACCACAGGAAACAAAGGGCCCATGAACAGTGTGGGCCCTTCCCCAAACTTCCCCAGAGAATAGTGTGGATGAAGTGGACTGAGGCCAGAAATGGAAGAAATAGCCTTCCCTGGCAGGAAGGAGAGGGGAGATTTCTGTCCCTTGTGCACATCTGTGGACTTGACATTGACACAGACTCCAGTGTTTGAGGGGAATGGGCTCAATTCCACAGAACACGGCCACTTTTTCCACCTCTCCAGCCTCAGTCACCCACATTCAAGACAAGAATCCCACTGGTTGAAATATGACCAACATTGAGACCACGTGGAGACCAAGCCCCAAAGGCAGAGTGAACAACAGCCAGTTCATCCCATGTAATTAAGCTGGATCCATTCAGTCACTCGCCTCTCATTTATTGAGTCTCTCCTAGTGCCAAGCTCTGGGGGTGCTGAGCAAAAGAGTCTGTGAGCTCCAGGGAGGAAGACAAGTAAATATATAATGAATTAGACAGTGACAAATGCCACAGAGAAGTAACATCTTACCCAGAAATGCTCACTCAGAAAAGGCCTCCTGAAGCCTGTGTTGAGTCATAAAGGAAGGCCAGGGGTTACTAGTAGTAGGGGGCAGGCAGGGAGTGTGGAGAGGGAGGAAAAGGCAACCCAGGAAAAAAGAGAAGCTTGTGCAAAGTGACAAAGACAGAGCACATGGTCTACTAGAGGCAGATTTCAGCAAGACTGGAGGTACTTTGCAGATTAGATAGGAAACAGTGGGAGATGAGACTGTAGAGGAGGCAAGAATCAGATCACAAGGAGCAGGAAAGGTTCCTGCTGAAGGGGAGGATTTAAGATGAAAGATACTTAAACTTGCTTAAACACTGGGGAAAAACTTTGTTAAAGATCAGTTGGTTGTAGATATGTTGCTTTATTTCTGGGTTCTGTGTTCTGTTCCTTTGGTCTATACGTCTATTTTTGTACCAGTAACCCAGACAAAACCTGCTGTTTTGGTTATATAGCCTCGTAGTATAATTTGACATCAGGCAATGAGATGCCTCTGGATTTGTTCTTTGCATAGGATTGCTTTGGCTATTCAGGTTCTCTTTTGGTTCCACATAAACTTTAGCATTGTTTTTTCTTTTTTTTTAGCATTGTTTTTTCCAATCCTGTGAAAAATGATGTTGCTAAATTTGATAGGGATTGTGTTAAATCTGTAGATTGCTTCGGGCTGCATGGTCATTTTAACGATGTTGATTCTTCCAATCCTTGAGCATGGGATGTCTTTCCATATGTTTGTGTTATCTACGATTTCTTTCATCAGCGTTTTGTAGTTCTCCTCATAGAGATCTTTCATTTCCTTGGTTAAGTGTGTGTGTGTGTGTATGTGTATGTGTATGTGTATGTGAGTGTGCGTGTGTGTGTGGCTATTGTAAATGGGATGGGGAAAGGACTCCCTATTCAAATAATGGTGCTGGGAAAACCGGCTGACCATGTGCAGAAGAATAAACTGGACCCCTATTTCTCACCATATACAAAAATTAATTAAAGATGGATTAAAGACTGAAATTTAAGACCTGAAACTGTAAAAATTCTAGTGGAAAATCTAGGAAAAACTCTTCTGGATATTGGCATAGGCAAATAATGTATGATGAAGTCCCCAAAAGCAAATGAAATAAAAACAAAAACAGACAAATGCGACTTAATTAAATTAAAAAGCTTCTGCACAACAAAAGAAATAACCAACAAAGTACACAGACAACCTACAGAAAGGGAGAAGATATCTGCAAATTATGCCTTTGACAAAAGACTAATATCCAGATTCTATGAGGAACTCAAACAACTCAACAAGAAAAAAAAAAACCATTAAAAACTGGGCAAAGGACATAAACAGACATTTCTGAAAAGAATAAATACTGCCAATAAACGCATGAAAATGATCAACATAAATAAGCATCAGAGAAATGCAAATTAAAACCACAATGAGATATCATGCTACACCAATCAGAATGGCTACTATTAAAAAAACAACAACAGATGCTGGCATAGATGCAGAGAACAGGGAACACTTATACACTGTTGGTGGAAATGTAAATTAGTTCGACCTCTATGGAAAACAGTATGAAGATTTCTTAAATAACTAAAAAGAGAACTACCATTCAACCCAGCAATCCCACTACAGGGCATCCTCCCAAAGGAAAATAAATCACTATGTTAAAAAGACACCTATACTCGTATGTTCATCACAGCACTATTCACAATAGCAAAGTCATAGAACCAACTTCAGAGTGATGATCAACACTTGACTGGATAAAGAAAATGTGGTATATATATACCATGGAATACTACACAGCCATGCAAAATAATAAAGTTATATCTTTTGCAGAAACATGAATGGAGCTGGAGGCCATTATCCTCAGTGAACTAACTTAGAAACAGAAAATCAAATGCCACAAAACACACCTTCTCACTTATAAGTCTAAGCTAAACAATGGGTATACATTGATATAAAGATGAAAATAATAGACACTGGGGATTCCAAAAGAGGGGAGGAGGTGAGGGTTAAAAAATTACCCATCAGGTACAATGTTCACTATTTGGATGATGGGTACACTAGAAGCCCAATCACCACCAATATGCAGTATACTCATGAAACAAACATGCACATATACTCCCTGAATCTAAAATAAAATAAAATTTAAAAACAAACAAAAATCTTGGGAAATAATAAATACCTAGGAAAGGTTATTAATAAAGTAGAAGGAGCAGTTAATTGGTAGATCAAGGTCCTGAAAAGGTGGGAATCCAAAAACACTATGTGTGACTTTCCTAAATCCAGGTGAACCTTGCTCTATGTACAAAATGTACATAATCTCAAAGTATTGTGACCGAATTAAATAATGTCTAAGCCCTCCTCTAGGCTTATATTCATTGATTCCTCTAATCAAGGTTTTCTTTGAGGAAATCCCCTTGATATCTACTAGGAACCTATGAAAACTTGGAGAAATAAAGAATTCTTTGGTAATATAAATAAGTTAATTGTTAATGTGTCTGCTCTGGTTAAGGTTTTATAATGTATTTTCAAGAGTAAAGAACAGGGCTATGGCCTTCTTCTGCCCCTGTAAAACCAACTTACAAAAGTCAGTCAATCTGTGGACTCCCCTACCCCTAGAAGACTCATTCTAGCAGTTTTGTGGGAAGAGGACAAGACTGGGGTGAGGGGCCAGTTGGAGGGATGATTCTCTTTCTAATAGTCCATGGGAAAAACTAAAGAGTGGTGAGAAAAGCGGTGGTGAGAATGGAAAGAAAGGAGAGAAACCATTCTGACATAGACTCAGCTTCCTCTCCTCTGACCCATATAAAACCTGCTGTTTTCGTTACTATAACCTTGTAGTATAATTTGAAGTCAGGCAATGTGATGCCTCTGGATTTGTTCTTTGCATAGGATTGCTTTGGCTATTCAGGTTGTCTTTTGGTTCCATATGAACTTTAGCATTGTTTTTCTCTTTTTTAGCATTGTTTTTTCTAATACTGTGAAAAATGATGTTGCTAATTTGATAGGGATTTTGTTAAATCTGTGCCTGAATGCACACATGTGTACACGCATATATGTGTGCTGTCCTGAAGGCATGTGTCTCTAGCGACTGGCTAGCTATTGAACAAAGCCATTTCTTCTTGCTCCTAGGCACACAGCTATATTAATTCCCAGCCTCCCATGCAGTTAGGTGGGTCCCTATGACTGAATAGAATGTGAGAGGAAGTGACGAATGCCATGTGTAGGTTTGACTCATAAAGATGTACCACTCCTCCCTGCTTTTTCCCCTTTCATGGAGGCTGGTGGAGCCCTCTGTTGAAGATAGTGACGCTACAAGTTGGGGAGAGCCTGGGTCCCTGAATCACTGCCAGAAAGATCAATACCTATTGATCAGGAACACTTACCTGGAACTTCACTGAGCAGGATACAAACTTCTATTGTATTAAGCTATTAATACATTAAGATTTGGGGGTGCTACCTTACATAATAAATTCCCATTTCCTCTTGGCTTTGATCCACGGGTTCTCAAGTAGACAGAGAAAGATAGGTCAACACCCTTTTCAGTACCAACAATATCCTGAGCCTTAGACTACTATCCAGGCTCTGGGTGACCAGAGATATGCTTCTCTCCCTTGAGAGTGTTTGTGAAGGAGCAACTCTTGAGGAGTTGCTAAAGGATATCAGACACATTTTATATGGCAGAGCCTTAGTCTCCCACACGTACATAGAGTACATATATTGCAGACCCATCTGAAGTTGGTGAAGAGCAGGATTTAAGGCAAGGCAGGGTCTCCTGGTTTTCTCCATTCATGGTGGCTTGAGTGTGAAGTGCCAGGAAGTCCTGGTGGAAAGATGGCCCACTGACCTGGGAGCAGGAGACTTGACCCTGGGCCACATGGCCCTGGGAAAGTCTTCCCTTCTCTGGACCTCAATTTCTTCAGCTGGAAACTAAGAAACTGGAACTACATCATTGCTCAAGCCCCTTTCAGCTCTGACATTTTAGAGGTTTTATCAGGGATTATGAATGCAAATGTTTACAGGGGTGAACAATAAGTGGGCCAGGTGGGGCCTGGGGGGCTAATTAGAAAACTGGTACCCCATCTCCAGGAGGCAGATGACTATTGCCACACGGGAATGTATACCCAGGTTGCCAGCACTTCTGGTGTCTCAAAAGAAGCCACAAATCTAGATCTTCTTAACAACAAATATCCTGATTTTTGTATGTTTCTAATACATTTTTTAAATGTATAAGCACTCAACAGACTAAATAAGGCACACCCATGGACCAGACTCATTTCTAGAGCTGCTAGTTTAGGACCTCCAAATAAAGAATCCCATGGCTGGGGCCCCTTGGGCAAGAGCTAAGCCAGGCTCCAGGCCTCTGGCCAGCTACTAAGCTTTCAGCAAGCTGGTGGGGCTTTCAGCAGAGATCCATGATGCTCTGAAATCCTACCGAGGATCTCAAAATATGTGCACACCTCTCTCTGAGGCTGCAGTTTCTGAGTCTCCCCTGGGCATCTCCCAGGAGGTTCTTAACTGACCCAGAGACCTGAGCCTCTCTCCACTTCTCACCTTCCTCAACCCTGCCCCTCTCTCCCATTGCCACCCCTGGCCCACTGGCAGCAGAGTGAAGACAGGGCCAAGAGGCATTTCATAAGGAAGAAAATCAGTGGTAAGACCCATGGGACCAATTTTCAAACTTCAGTGTGAGAAGGAGGGGGAGGCTTCCTGGAGAGTGGGTACCACAGGTCACATATATGGCTCCTGTTCACCTGACAGTCAACCAGCTGGGGTACAGTGGAACAAGCTCTGGAATGCAAATGAGCTCCTTGTCCAGTCTGCCCAAATCCAACAGGAGTGCCCCCCTGGCCCCATCTTCACCCTCATTAAAAACCATCTCATTCCATAGGATGCATGTGAGGCATCAAGAATCAGGAGGTTCCGCTGATGCCAGCACTCTGCTTCCTGGCTGGGGTGTGAAGGAGGAGTGAGGATTGTGAGTCACAGACAGCCAGGTCAAGCCTAAGGATAAAACACCAGCCACAAGGCCTCCCTTCTTCTCAGCCTGTACCAGTGCTCAAGCCTGACCCAATGTCTACTGGTCATTAATTCCAAGCCTCAAAGATCAAACCTCCAAATACCCTGCTTGAATAATGCTACTTGGATGCATTTTAAAATCTCTTAGAGGCCAAACCCCACCACTTGGAGAAGCCCCTCCCAGCCAGGCACTTCCCAGTTGTCCTTGGTCACCTGGACTATTTCCCAGGGCAGACCCTGCTCCCAGTGACACACATTTGCAAAGGTTTGCTGCTCAGAAAATGGGCTCATTGCAGCTTTCCAAATGAGGTCAGTGTATCGCTCAGGAGGCTCCATCCCTCCTCTGAGTTCCTCACAGACACCTCTCCCCTAATGCTAACTCCTAAACAGAAATTAGGGAACAGAAAAGACCCAGTTTCCACCCATGAATCTCTTCCCTCTCCCTCACCCCTCCCTCTCTGTCCCGATCCCCACCCCTTTCCTCTCCCTCTCTCCTCTCAATACAGCTTCTCCTAGAGCTGAGGACTTCCTATTGAGAATCCTAAGAGAATAATCGTGGGAACTGAAAGCAATGTTTTCTCTCTCCCAACAAGTTTGTCCTGGTAATCTCAACTCAATTCTAATAGTAAAAACAGCCTCAGGAGAATGACTCACCCCATAACCCAGAATACGTGCATGTCCTGTGCCCTGGCAGAGCTAAGGCTTCCTGCCTCAGTTCTGCCATCAGAGTCCACCCAAGGCCAAATTGTGAAGTGAGGAATGTTTGTCCTCAACTCCCCATCACTTCTGGACTTTCCTTTGCCCCTCTGTCCCTCTGCCCTCAAACCAACCCAGCCAGGCCAAGCAGGCGGCCTGAGTCGCCACACTCCAGCCCGTCAGGACTTCCTTTTCTCTCCATCAAAGCTTCACATCAAGACCTGGAGGGCCCTCCTCTCTATCAGGTGACACAATAGGCTAATTGGATGCAGGAAAGAAAAAAAAAAGCACTGGCCAAAGAAGCAGAAGACTCAAGTTCTTATCCCATCCTTGCCACCTTTTAGCCATATTTTCCTGAATAAGTCTCAGCACTTCAGTTGCATCATCTGTAAAATGGGATAATGATGCTTCTTTGGCTCCTTCACAGGCACCAGGCAAGCTTCTGAACCTTAGTTGTCTCATCTGTTAATTGGGCATAATAATACCATCCTTACCCACTTCACAGGGCTGCTCTGAGGCTTGAAAGAGATCATGCATGCGATAGTGCTTTGTACACAGGAAAGTGCAATATTCTCAGAGGCGTTATGAGCAGAGCCCCTCCCAGGGGAGAGTCATGCATGTCTCACAGCAGCCTCCTGGAAACGCCGCCTCAACCTAGAGATGTAGCCTGCTGGTTGGAATCTGTGGACCATGGCAGACCTGTGAGGGAGATATCCTGGGACAGATAGGCCTGTTGGAATCTGTCAGATCACATCGCAGAGGCAGCTGCCTTCTCTGCCCACACTGCTGGCCCAGCCATGCCCATGTAGCTGAAGTTCCCCTTTTCCATCCAACACAGCTCTGCTGCAGTCTGGCAGCCCTATCTGGAAGATAACCAGCTCCTTCGTTTCTCCCTTTATTATTCCTGCCCTCTTCTGTGTCTTTGGTGCTTTGTGAGTACTCTGGGTTCCTCTATTCTAGAAACCAAGCTCCCAGGGTCTGCCCAGGGCTTGCCCCCACACCTAGTCCTGAGAGGCAAGCTCTCCTCCTAGGTAACCTTGTGCCTTGTCAGAACGCCAAGCAATGCCAAGCAATGACACCTTGTTCTGTGGTGGAAACTTGAGTGGAATAACAACAGCCACACTTAGTATTAATGTCACACTGCTCACTAGGATGCCCAGAAGCACTGCATTGAATCATTCAAAGGCCTCTGCGCTCCCCTAGCTCATGCCAGCTGGATTGGAAATGGGGAGACACCACAAAGGAAGTCAACATCAGAACTGGGGAGACCCTGATGTCCTGAGTTTCACTCCAAAAATTCAAAGGCAAAAACTTTCAGCTCTACTGCTGACATGCTGTGTGGAGTAGCAAATCAGTCCTCTCGTTTCTCATCCATCACCTTTACTACATATAAAGTGGGAACATAAACAGCCCAATCTCTGTCCTGAAATGAGGGGGGAGAAGGGCAATTCCTAGGGGTAGAGGGAAATCCCTGACCTCAAGCATTACACCAGGATTCTGCCCTTAGCTAACAGGCCCCTTGGTTCAGACTTCAAGTGCTTGAAGGTGACACATCTATCACTGCACCCTGAAGAAGGCAGAACCTCCCATCAGATGGAGGGGAAATTTGGACACCCTGGGGAAAAAAAAAAAAGAAAAAGAAAAAAACCTCGAATGGGGTAAAAACTCAAGAAGGGTGATATGCAAAAGTGGGGACCAACCGTTTGGGTTCTCAGCCTGAGGATGTCTTTGTCCCCTCCCTCCCGCAAAGGAAATGCGGATATAGAGGTAAGTCTGTCATCCCTTAGCCAAGCTTTAGGGTTCAGAAGCTGACTGCATAGCAACGGCGGCCAGCCGCCTTCCCTCCCCTCACACACGCGCACACACGCGTCTCCAACCCTCTAGGAAAGCGGTTTCAGGACTTGTGAAGTCCAGGGAAGGGGAAAGCCCAGCCTGGGGCCCTGAAGCAACCCTGGCACTAATGCCAACAAGTGTCGCGGACAGCTTAGGGGCTCAGGTGGGGCGAGAGGAAGATTGACACGCAAGGGGGAGATGAGCCCTCACTAAGCCCCTACCTCCTCCCTCCAGACCTGACCCGGGGAATCACCCATCCCACCCCCAACTCCCGCCTCCCCCTTCTGCCCAGCCCGCCCCTAGGGCATTTGGTCCTGCGGCAATCAGGCACTGCCTGCGAGTCGGGCGCTCGCCCCTACCTCAGTGGCCATGATCAGGGGGCGCTCGGAGGCTGTCGCGAGGCCTGGCGAGGGGGGCTGTCCGCGGTGCTGACCCCGGGAGCAGGTGGGCGGCGGCGGCGGCGGCGAGCTGGGGCCCGGGGCGCTGTCCGCAGTGCTGATGCGGGCGCCGCGGGCCCGGGCACAGGTGGGCCGGGGGCGGGCGGGCGGCGGGGTCCGGGCAAGGGGCGCGGCGCTCTCCGCGGTGCTGAGGCAGGCGCCGGGCCCAGGAGGCGAGGCCGCGCCCGAGGCTCCTCACGGACCGATCGCCCGCTGCCGCGGCTCCTGCAGGCAACGGCCGGGTTTAGCTTTGGCGGCGGCGGCGGCAGCGGCGGCGGCAGGGGTGGGGGCGGCGGGGGGAGGAGGGGCCAGGAGCCGCCGCGGGCCAGGAGGGGGAAGCCGCGGCCCCCAGACTCCGGCGCCGCCGGAGAGGAGCCCCGCCCGGGCCACAGGCTCGGCTCCCGCCCCGCGCGAGGCCCCGCCTCCCCTTCCTGCCCTCCCCCTCGTGAGAGCCCCGGAGCTCTGCGCTCGCTGCCGCGGCCCCCGGGACATCCAGCCTGAAGGAGAGTGGGGCAGGGATTTTTCTGGGGCAAGACGCTTCAGCCTGCGAAGGCTGACTGCTCCCGAGCCTCTCGCAGGCCCCCAGGTGCGACCTCTCTACCTTTCCAGCCACCCCCAGTGCCCCGGCTCTACCCCTCCCCCGCCCCGCCCCCGGCTTCCTCTTCAGAATAATTTCTCTTCTTTCTCTCCCTTTTCCTCGCTGTGTGCTCCCCCCATATACACACAGCCAGGCTTGCACGGACGGCCCCTCCTTTCCCTCTCCTTTGCAGTTCCTGAAACCCCACTAGCTAGACAAAGATCCTGCTGACCGCAGAGAATCATTTCCTTTCTTTAAATACGTGCCCACATTTCGTTCACAGCCATAGCCTGGGGTCACTTCTTTCAGGGAGCTCCAGAATTGAAGCCAGTCTCTCCTTGCTGATCTTCCTGGACCTGGGCCCCACCCTTTTACTCTTCCCTCTCTCCTCTGCAACCCGAGTTTACACACACGCACCACCACTACCACCACCACTCAAAACCACAAGCAGATGGTGCCAAACCGGTATGCTCACTCTCCAAGGATAGCAGGTCTGGCTCTGGTGCCACCTTCACACTTTTGACATCATAAATTCCAACTAAATGAGCTATTTGTTTAATAAAAAGGAGACCAGGCGCAGTGGTTCACACCTGTAATCCCAACACTTTGGGAGGCTGAGGTGGGAGGATTGCTTGAGCCCAGGAGTTCGAGACAAGCCTGGGCAAGACCCTGTCTGCACAAAAAATGAAAACATTCGCCGGACGTTGATGTGTGCCTGTGGTCCCAGCTACTCAGAAGGCTGAGGCAGGAGAATCACTTGAATCCAAGAGTTCAAGGCTGCAGCTAGCCATGATTGTGCCACTACACTCCAACCTGGGCAATAGAACAAGAGCCTGTGTCTTAAAAAATTAAAAATAAGACTGGGTGCAGTGGCTCATGCCTGTAATCCCAGCACTTTCAGAGGCCAAGGCGAGTGGATCACCTGAGGTCAGTAGTTCAAGACCAGCCTGGCCAACATGGTGAAACCCCATCTCTACCAAAAATACAAAAAAATTAGCCGGGCATGGTGGCACATGCCTGTAGTCCCAGGTACTCAGGAGGCTGAAGCAGGAGAATTGCTTGAACCCAGGCGGCAGAGGTTACAGTGAGCTGAGATCACACCATTGCACTCCAGCCTAGGCGACAAGAGTGAAACTCTGTCTCAAAATAATTAAATAAACAAAATAAACATAAAAAAGGAAACACCAACACAAGTGCCTTTTTACACACCCATAGTACCCCTTGGTCTCTTTGAGGGGTGGCGGGGTGTGCTCCTCTGCAGCTCACTGCTGCCTGACAGTCTGAAGCCCACACACAGGGAGAACCTGGCAGCCAGGAGACCTGGATTTCTGGCCCAGGCTTTTCCAGCTATATAACCTTGAGCAACTGTCTTGTTTTCTGAGCTTATGGTTCTCTTTCTGTAAGGTATGAGTGTTGGATTTCACTAGACTGTTTCTAGGGCCTTTTGTTTTTTCTCCAACCTTTTATTTTGAAATTTTGAAACAGACAGAAAAGTTGAAAGAATAGTACAATAAACTAGGCCATCTACCTAGCTCCAACAATTGCTTTTTGCCACATTTGCTTTATTGATAGATATAAAAACAGAGATATATTTGCCTAGATTATTAGAAGGTGACAGACATCATGAGGTTTTATCTGTAAGTACTTCCATTCACCATGCATCTCCCAAGAAGAAGAGCATTATCCGAACTAGGCACAATACCATTCTCATGCTTTATTTTATTTTATTTTATTTTATTTTATTGTGATAGGGTCTTGCTCTGTCACCCAGGCTGGAATGCAGTGGCACTATCTCGGCTCACTGCAACCTCTGCCTCCTAGGTTCAAGTGCTTTTCAGCCTCCCGAGTAGCTGGGACTGCCTGCACACACCACCGTGCCCAGCTAATTTTTGTATTTTTAGTAGAGACAGGGTTTCGCCATGTTGGCCAGGCTGGTCTCAAACTCCTGAGCTCAGGTGATCCACCCAGCTCGGCCTCCCAAAATGCCAGGATTACAGGCGTGAGCCATCACACCCAGCCAATTATCATGCTTTTAAAATTCCCATATCATCTAATATTCTAGAAGTTTGTCACCTCTAAAACACATTAATAGCAATGACCCCTCAAAAATTCCCCCGGAACTTTTCATTTTTAATAGCTAACATTTAGTGAGCACTTACCATGTGCCAGTCCATATGCTACACACTTTACATGTATGATCTTATGTAATCCTCACAATTACTCTGAGTTGTGTTCTTGTGATCTTTTTACTATTCCCACTTTATAAATGAGGGAGCTGAGTAAGTTGCCCAAAGTCACAGGGCTTGTGGGGAATGGAGACAGTTTTCAGACACGGGCAGTCAAGCTCCAGAGCCTGTGTGGTTGATCCTCTTAACTGTGCTGCCTCCCTCTAGCATCTGGTAGACCATACACTAGCAGAGCAATGACCACATCTCCAGCTGTTTAATTTGCAGATGAAAACACGGGGTCCCAGAGGATAAGTGACATGCTAAAGAAGTTAAAGATAGGTGTCTCATTCTACCTTATAGTTTGGCATAGGATTTGGCATAAAGGACCAAACAGAATATCTATGAATCCTGCAGTGGTCACTGGTAATAAAGGAGCACATAATCTGATTACCCTCATGTAAATTTCATGGTTCCTCCCACTTGATTTTGATCACATCAATTACACAACCTTCTGGAAACCACTCTCTTAACCTGATGACTAGATATCCGGATGAGGCCATTCAACAAATCTATTCATTCAACATCTATTTGTTGAATGCCTGCTGTGTATCAGGCACTCTTCTAGGAACTTGGGATACAGTCATGACTAAAAATACAAAGCCTCTGTCCTTATTGAACTTATATAGTAATGGGGGTAACAATCCATGGCATAAGCAAATATGTGTAAAATATGGCAAGTTGTGATCACTGCTAGGAAGAAAAATGGGATCACTGCTAGGAAGAAGACATGGTAAGGAGATAGTGATAGAGAGGGCTTATTTTAGAAAGGAATAGTCAGGAAATACTTTTTTTGATAAGGTGAAATTTGGGTAGAGCCCTGAAGGAAGAGAGAGACCTAGACATATAGGTACCTGGAGGAAGAGTGACAAGGCAAAGAAGACAGAATCCAAGGGCCCTGACGCAGGACTGGGCTTGGTATGTTCAAAGAACAGCAGGAGGCCAGGCCCGGTGGCTCACACCTGTAATCCCAGCACTTTGGGAGTCCAGGGTAGGTGGATCACTTGAGGATAGAAGTTCAAGACTCAACTGGCCAACATGGCAAAAGCCCATCTCTACTAAAAATACAAAAATTAGCCAGGTGTGTTGGTGGTTGCATGTAATCCTAGCTACTCGAGAGGCTGAGGCTGGAAAATCACTTGAACGTGGTAGGCGGAGGTTGTAGTGAGCTGAGATTGCACCACTGCGCTCCATCCTGGGTGACAGTGTGAGACTCAGTTCCAAAAAATAATAATAATAATAACAAAAAATAGCTGGGAGACCAGTGTAGCTAGACCTGAGGTGAGCAAGGGGAAGAGAGTTGGGAGTTGAGTTCAGAGCGGTAGCAGGAATCAGGTCTTCCAGGGTCTTGTAGGCCCCGATACAGACTTTAGATTCTACTCATAAAGTGAGATGGCAAGCCTAAGGAGGTTTAGCATAGGGGCGTGACATCATCTAATTGCAGTTTTTAAAAGATTCCACTGGATGTCAGAGGGGAGGCAAGACTAGAAGCTGCAAAACCAATTAGGAGGTTGTTAGAGCAGCTCAGGCTTAGAAGATGTGGTGGTGGCTTAGAATTTGGTAGTAGCAGCAGAAGTGGGAAGAAGTGGCCAGATTCTAGAAATAATTTGAAAGTAATGCTGAGAGAATCTTCTGATGGATTGATGTGTGGTATAAAGAAGACAGGCCGGGCATGGTGGCTCATGCCTGTAATCTCAGCACTTTGGGAGGCCAAGGCGGGTGGATCACTTGAGATCAGGGGTTCAAGACCAGCCTGACCAACATGGCAAAACCCTGACTCCACTAAAAATACAAAAATTAGCCAGGCATGGTGGCACACACCTGTAGTCCCAGCTACTCAGGAGGCTAAGGTAGGAGAATCACTTGAACCCAGGAGGCAGAGGCTACAGTAAGCTGAGATTGCGCCACTGCACTCCAGCCTGGACAGAGAAAGACTTTGTCTCAAAATAAATAAATACATAAATACATAAGAGATAGTCAAAGATGATTCTAAGTCTTGAGATCTGAGCCATCAGAAGAAAGGAGTGGTTGTCTACTGAGAGGGGAAGACTAGGGACTGAGTAGGCCTGAAGGGTTGGGGTACACAGCATTTTGGTTGTGTTTTGTTGACTTAGGTTTGAAGTTTGATGTACATGTTATAAGTAAGTTATAAGGGAGGAGGAGGAGTTGGAGATATAACTTCAGGACCC